GTTTTCCACTTTCAGTACCGTTCAATAAATGACACAAGATATTTAACACTTTATTATAAAATAGGCTTTGTGTTAGATGGTTTTGCCCACCTGGAGTGTTCTGAGCATATTTAAGGTAGACTAGGCTAAGCTATGGTGTTTGGTAGATTAGGTATATTAAATGCATTTTCAACTTGCAATATTTTTCACCTACGATGGATTTATCCAGATACAACCCCATTGTAAATTGAGGATGATCTGTATACCTGGGCGTGGAATAGTATGGGTACAGGTTACTGTGTGTAACACTGTAAGGAGCTGCACCCAAGCAGTTTTCTAAACCAGCAGCACCATTTTTCGTAATCCCACCAGCAGTGCATGAAGAGTTTGATTTCTCTCTATCCTTTTGAACACTTGCTATCTTTTTTTTTTTTAAAGATTTTATTTATTTATTTGAGAGAGAATGAGAGAGAGCACATGAGAGGGGGGAAGGTCAGAGGGAGAAGCAGACTCCCCGCCGAGCAGGGAGCCCGATGTGGGACTCGATCCAGGGACTCCAGGATCATGACCTGAGCCGAAGGCAGTCGCTTAACCAACTGAGCCACCCAGGTGCCCGAACACTTGCTATCTTTTTGGTTTTAGCCACACTAATGGATGTGAGGTGCTATGTCATTGCTTTAATTTGCATTTTTATTGTAACTAATAATGTGCAACATCTTTTGTGTGATTATTGGCCATGTGTATGTAATCTTTGGAGAAATGTCTATTCAAATCATTTGCCCACTTTAAATTGGGTCATGTCCTTTAATTGTTGAGTTGTAAGTGTTCTTTATACATTCTAGATGCAAATTCCTTATAAGATATATGATTTGCAAATATTTTCTTCCATTCTGTGGTTGTTTTTTTCACTTTGTTGATGGTATCCTTGGGAGCACAAAAGTTTTTTATTTTTTTTTTAATTTTTTTTTTTTTAAGATTTTATTTATTTGCAAGAGAGAGAATGAGAGACAGAGAGCATGAGAGGGAGGAGGGTCAGAGGGAGAAGCAGATTCCCCGCTGAGCAGGGAGCCTGATGCAGGACTCGATCCCGGGACTCCAGGATCATGACCTGAGCCGAAGGCAGTCGCTTAACCATCTGAGCCACCCAGGCACCCGTCACTTGTGCTTTTGATATCCTAAGAAGGCTTTGTCTAACCCAAGGTCATGAAGATTTATTCTTATGTTTTCCTCTAAGAGTTTTATAGTTTTAGCTCTTACATTTGGTCCTATGATCCACTTTAAGTTCATTTTTGTGTATGGTGTCCAATTTCACTCTTTTGTGTGTGGATTTCTAGTGTCTCAGCACCATTTTTGATACTCAGTTTTTATGAGTATCAAAATTAACATATATAAAGCACTTAGAAGTACATGGGTATGCATAGCAGCACTGAGTAAATATTAGTTATTATTTTATCATTTATTGAATGGAATTGTCATATATCTACTTGTCCTTCTCCCTCAAAAGACAATCTTTATCTTCATAGCTATGTGCCTGGCCTAGTGCCTGACAGACAGTACCTGCTGAATAGATTTTGTTGAATGGATGAATAATAAATAGAGCTTCTCTACTGAGGCAGTCAGAGGGTAAAGCAAGTTTCAACACTGATATTCTACTGGGCTTGGCTTCGGTTCCGACCAGAGGGCCTCTCAAAGTTAGAACACATTGACAGTATCTGCCTGAGGGCATCTCTGCAGAACACACAGCATGCAACCCCTAGAATCTCTTCAGCATAGTTTTCATTCCTGTGTCACCCTCCTCACCATTCGCTTCCTCCTCCTCTTGTTCTGAGCATGAACTTGGAGAATGGAATCCCTCTTGAATATCAGTCTCAGCCAAATCTCCTCTGCTGTATGTATCCTTTGGCTTTCAACCCCTCAAAACTGAAGGTGCAAAGCTCACTCCCAGCCTCTTCCCAGTCTCCATCCACACTCTTTTCCCACATGATCTCATCTAATGTAATGGCTCTAAATACCACATAAGTGTTGATGACTCCCAAACCTGTTACTCCAGGCTTACTGAGATCCAGACTTACATTTTAATTGTCACCTTCATGTCTCATTTTAGATATCTAACAGCTGTCTCAAACTTAACATGACCAAAACTGAGTTCCTCCCACAAACATATTCCTCATCTTAGTAGATGGATCCATAAATTCGCCCAGTGACTGCAGTCAAAAATTTGGGATCCATCCTTGATTCCTCTTATTTTTTTTAAGATTTTTAATTTATTTTCTTGAGAGAGAGAGTGAGAGAGAGCATGTGCACGGGGCGGGGGGAGGGCCAGAGGGAGAGGAGCAGAGAGAGAGGGAGAAGCAGACTCCCTGTTGAGCGGGGACCCTGAAGTGGGGCTTGATCCCAGGACCCTGGGATCATGACCTGAGCTGAAGTCAGACGCTTAACTGACTAAGCTACCCAGGCGCCCCCTTGATTCCTCTTTTTCTCTCATCCCCATATCAGGCAAATCCTACTGAATCTGCCTTCAAAATATGCCAGCATCTTATCACTGCTCATCACCTCCAGTGCTCCCACTTGGGAACAAGCTCGTGTCTGCCCTATGCATGGACTAATGCAGTAGCCTCTGATTGCTCTCCTCTATCCTTGCCCCTCCCCAATTCCATTCTCTAAGTCATAGCCCAGAGGATCTGTTTAAAAACATAGAGTAGGTCATGCTACTCCCTTGTTTAAAACTCTCTAATGGCTTTCTATTATGTTAGGATAACACTCCAATTTCTTACCATGACCAACATGACTTTCTTGATTTTGCCCTTCAAGTAAAAGTTGAAATTTCTACCAGGTACAAAGATTTAATGATAGCAGATTTCAAAGTGAACTTCCAGTTCACAATATTCAGGTTTTCAGAGAAAATGGGCATAAACCTGTTCCATAACTCCTGAAACCCTTTGATAAAATGAAAGGGTTAGAGAGTAAAAAAGAGAGGCTTTTGTGGGGAATACATATTTAGAATAGCTATATAATGAAACCCAGTCCATCTTCCACCAAGGAGGACTTACCTTAAAACCTGGTGGTGCTCCAGACCTTCCATGGGGCCGCTTACAAAGCTTATTGTGTTATTGCTTCAGTTGGGAGGTATAGTGAGCTAAGATCTTGCTCATGCTTTGGGGATTAAGATAATGAGAGACAAACAGACTAGTTAATTTTGGGGGCAGAGTCAGGAGAATGTGGCCATATTAGGACAGTGGTGGCAGAGCTAGGGCAACAGATGTGGGCCCCAAGGGAGAGAGCATGTGTGTGCAGGTATCTTGGGGTTTGACCAACAGGACTGTCTAGTAGAGTGAGGAAATGCCAGCAGCAATAATTTGGTGGCAAATATCTAGGGGCTGAGGAAGGAGTCTCAAGGGATCACCCCAAATAGAGATGCTTTCTCCCCATCAAAGGGAATTGCAGGAGAGATAGCCCAGTGGGAAACCTCCAGAGCCCCGAAATTTCCCCCGTGAAGGAGCTTCACCATTCAACATCTGCCAGGCCTGGAAAGTACAAAGCTTTGGTGCTAGTCCAGGTAAGACCCTTCCTGCCCCTTTTCCATTCTCTACCTGCATTAACCAATCCCAGAGGGGTTGAAGGTGCAGCCATCTTGTTAGTTTGTATTCATATATTGGACAGAAATGCCCAGTTTCTGTTTTGAGGTTTTTTGTGGCTTAAAGTGATCTTGGGACAATCTATTTGATAAGAGTGAATAGTCATGTGACCTGCTGGAGTCCTTATGCTCTGTTAGGAGAAGGCCTCACTTGGTAAAATTAGAAGAAATGGTGGATAAAAAATGAATGAAATTATGACTTGAGAATATTATGAGTTCAGCCAGCCGTATATGGCAAAGGCTCCTACTTGCTTGGGCCCCTTAGCCCATGTCCCTGAGAATGCCTTCCCCAGCCTACAGGTCTGAAGGAGCAACTTATCCCTCTCCAACTATTCTCTGGCAATCTTCCTTGCCTGTTTTCTTCACAGCACCAATTACTACGTGAAAGCATCTTGTTCGTGTGTGTTCTTATTGTCAGTTACCTCCCATTGGACTACAAGTTCTATAGAAGCAGAAATCCCACCTCTTTGGTTCACTGCTCTATCCCCAGTGACTCGATGAGGTACTCTGTGTATATAAGTGCTCAATAAATATTTGCTGAGTGAATGCATAAAAATTGTATGAGCAACACAGAGCTGAGAGTGGGAGAAATGCATATTCACCCAACTTCAGTGAGATCTCTCTTTCTATTGTGGATTTTTCATTTTAATATAATTCTACATTTATACTGTGGTAGTGACAACTTTTTTCACATTATTTGTATAACAATTTTTCTTTCATCACAAGGTCACAATCCAAAAAGAAACACATAAAAAAAAGTTCCAAACAAATGTGGAGAAAGGACTAATTTGAAGTATTAAGTAGAAAACATCTGACTACAGATCAACTTGACTATTTTCTTTCAAGAAAGTGTTTTTGCTTTTTAACGTGGTCTCATAGGGATTTAATGTTGGTGTTGGAGGTCAGGACAGCACATGCACCTTGTAAGCTATGGTATCTCAGGGTGGCAGATAGACTCTAAGATGGTTCCCCATGACCTCCAACTTTGGTATCTGCACCTTCTTGTAACCCATGCCCTTTGAGTGTCCCTGCAGCCTGTGACTTGCTTCTAGCCAATAGGATATGGCAAAGGTGATGGGATGTTACTTCTCTGGTTATACTGTGCTATTTAAGAGTCCATTTTGCGAGCCAGCTCTGTCTAGAGACTGTCTTTGCCGGCTTGATGAAGCAAGGTGCCATGTTGAAACAACCCACGTGGCAAAGACTGCCTGTGGCCCCCAGGAGCTGAGGCAGCCTTCCGCCAACATGCAGCAAGAAGCAGATGGCCCTCAGTCCCGCAACCACTAGGAAATGAATTCTCTCACTGGAACATAAAACCAGTTTAAACCATGATCAATCATTTATACCTCAGGGTCCATGAAGGATTTAAGAAGATGCTTAACTGGGCGCCTGGGTGGCTCAGTTGGTTAAGCGACTGCCTTCGGCTCAGGTCATGATCCTGGAGTCCCGGGATCAAGTCCCGCATCGGGCTCCCTGCTCGGCGGGGAGTCTGCTTCTCCCTCTGACCCTCCTCCCTCTCATGCTCTCTCTCATTCTCTCTCTCTCAAATAAATAAATAAAATCTTTAAAAAAAAAAAAAATAAGAAGACGCTTAACTGACTAAACTGAAGTCAGACGCTTAACTGACTAAGCTACCCAGGCGCCCCCTTGATTCCTCTCTTTCTCTCATCCCCAAGGCTTCTGACCTCGAAGGGGATGACTGCTCGTAGGTGAGGGTGGATGCAGAACAGGGAAGCCCAGCTGGAGGCAGACTTGTCTGTCATCACTCTTTCGCTTAGCTCTTGGCCATATGGGTGTCTCCACATACTTGTTGCCCATACACTTAATGTCTTAAGAATGATCTGATGGGAAGAGGTATGTTTATAGGGCCCAAAGGGGAAATAAAAAGGATGGAACTCAGTCACAGAGACGCAGTGAAAAACCCTCTTCATTGATGCTAATGATGGTAGCATGCAGGCAAAACCAGAGGCGGCCAATGAGGGGCAGTTGGTAGGCCTAGTGGTAACTGAACCCATGGGAAATTTGCATCCTCCCTGAACTGAGCTCACCTTTCCCCAGCAGCCTGAGCATCTGCCTTCTTCTTTTTTTTTTTTTTTTAAAGATTTTATTTATTTATTTGAGACAGAGAGAATGAGAGAGAGCACATGAGAGGGGAGAGGGTCAGAGGGAGAAGCAGGCTCCCTGCCGAGCAAGGAGCCCGATGCGGGACTCGATCCAGGGACTCCAGGATCATGACCTGAGCCGAAGGCAGTCGCTTAACCAACTGAGCCACCCAGGCGCCCTGCCTTCTTTTTTTTTTAAGATTTTATTTATTTATCAGAGAGAGAGAGACAGAGGCAGGCAGAGGGAGAAGCAGGCTCCTTGCTGAGCAAGGAGTCCGATGTGGGACTCAATCCCAGGACCCTGGGATCATGACCTGAGCCAAAGGCAGACGCTTAACCAACTGAGCCACTCAGGCGTCCCGAGCATCTGCCTTCTAAGTGAACTGTGATTCAGCCGTAGAGCATGAGCAGTCTTCTCACACCCCCAGGGAAGATCAAAAGAGGGACGGTGGGAGGGGGAAGGGAGGAGGCCAGGGAGCAAGATGCAAGGGTCGGAGAGCTGACAGAGGGGCCGAAATGCAGCCAGCACTCTCAGCCTTCTTCATGCTGCTCTTTGTCCTGCTGTGTCTCCTGGGAATCCTGGCCAACGGCTTCATTGTGCTGGTGCTGAGCAGAGAAAGGATGCGGCGTGGGAGGCTGCTTCCCTCCGACATGATCCTCATTAGCTTGGGTGCCTCCCACTTCTGCCTGCAGTGGGTTGGAATGGTGAACAACTTCTACTACTTCCTCCACCTGAACGAGTACAGCCAAGGTCCTGCCTGGCAACTCACTGGTCTCCACTGGGACTTCCTGAACTCGGCCACCTTCTGGCTTGGCTCTTGGCTCAGTGTCCCCTTCTGCATGAAGATTGCCAACTTCACCCACCCCAACTTCCTCTGGCTGAAGTGGAGGTTCCCAGGGTCAGTGCTCTGGCTCCTCAGGGCTTCTCTCCTGATCTCTTTCATCGTCACCCTGCTCTTCTTTTGGGGAGACCATGCTGTGTATCAAGGATTCTTAATTAGAAAATTTCCTGGGAACATGACCTTCAAGCAGTGGAGCTGGAGGCTGGAAATTCACTCTTTCTTGCCCCTGAAACTTATCACTTGTCAGTTCCCTGCTCTGTCTGTCTGTTCTCAATTGCACTGTTGATTAATTCTCTGAGGGGACACACAGGGAGGATGCAGCGCAGCACCCACAGCCCGCAGGACCCCAGCGGCCAGGCTCATACCAGAGCTCTGAAGTCACTCATCTCCTTCCTCATTCTTTTTTTTTTTATTCTTATGTTAATCCCCATACATTACATCATTAGTTTTAGATGAAGTGTTCCATGATTCATTGTTTGTGCATAACACCCAGTGCTCCATGCAGAATGTGACCTCCTCAATACCCACCACCAGGCTAACCCATCCTCCCAGCCTCCTTCCTCATTCTTCATGCTCTGTCCTTCGCATCCCTGGTCATCGATGCTGCAGGTTTCTTCTCCTCAGAGAGTGACTGGTACTGGCAATGGCAGATTTTAATCTACCTGTGCACATCTGTCCATCCCTACATCCTCATCCTCAGCAACCTCCGGCTTCGAGGGGTGTGCAGTCAGCTACTTCTGTTGGCCAGGGGCTTCTGGCTGGCCTAGGTGGCATGGTCCCACCCAGACCCCTGGAAGAGACTCAGAGACAATGATGGAGCCAGTGCCCACTTACATGGAAATAGCTTCACAGGCAGCTATCCACTGGATTCTACTCTGGGCTTCCTCCTTTGGGAAGGAGAGGAGGGAAGTCAAATCTGGGGATTCTCTGAACGAGATTCCTTCCTTGGGACATTGTTAAATGTCCTCAGAGAGCCAGTATTGTCCAGAAATTCAGAATGTAAAGTTTTGTTTACTCTCTATTTTGTGTCCCCTCCATTATGTGGCAGCTTTCAGTTAAGAAGTCTTGATGAAAAATTACATGTGATCTCAATAGCCTCCCAGGGAATGAACTAGGGTGTGGATGGGGAAGGAGCATCCCTCTTGAGGATGATGTAATGGTTGCGACGGGAGCCCCAGGGGATGGTGGCTGTGGCTGACGGTGGTCAGGGCTGTGAGGTCTAACAGCCCTCCCTTTTGTGGAGATTCTTTTTCCTTCTCCACCCTGGGAGAATTTGGTTTTAATTTTATAAAAACTACCGGAAGGTTTCTTTACAGCAACCCATCTCTTTTCTTATTATTATTTCCATTGTTCTGCCTTCGGTTTTCTCCCCTCTGAGGTCTAAGTGGCAGCCAGACTTTTTCCATGTTTATTCTTCCTTTAGAATCACACATTGTAATTTTCCACATTTTCATATTGTCTCTGGAACTTTGTTGTTTTTCCTCAAGCAAGTCACAAAGTCACATGGGAATTGAATAAACATGTACTTTGAGTTCTGAAAAACGAAGACTCAAGCGTTTCATTTAGTTTGTGTCCAAAAACTATTTAACCTCTTTTTGTTTTTAAGAATCACCCTATTAAATCTTATGTTGAAATATTGTTTTGAAATAGCTTGCTCCATTTACTGTACAAACATTTCTAGAAATAACTTTGGAAAAAATTCTCTTTAGAGTTGGGTGCCTCTAAGGCAGGCTTAAAAGTTTTTGCTCAAAGGCCCCAGTGTGCAAATTTCAGGATCTAACTTGCAATTGGATGTCTGGTAGGGAGAAATTTTAACGTCCTCTGAGAGTGAAAGTAGTTTCCCTGCTGATTAGGGTATATGCTGCTGAGTGGAACTACACTCATGAACTAAAATCTCTGTGCAGATTATTCCATATTTTTACTTTAAACATTTATTTTTTAATAGGTTACATTTGCATGGCTAAAAATTCAAAAGGTACTCAAGAGTATATATAAAAAAATCTCATAACTTCCCCTTCTGAGGCATTCTCATCAGTTTTATGTCTGTCCTTCTAGAGAGATTTCATTCTGTAGCAGAAAGCCACCAAGAGCTAACTACCAAACCAGTCAACTAACTTACTTATGTACTTACTTATATATTCCACACAAGGAACTCACTAACCAACTGACTTATTAGCTGTGTTCTTTCTCCTTGTGTCCTTCTACACAGATGCGTGCACAGTATGCATGCTGTTCCGCTCCTTGCTCTTCCTACTTAACATATCTTGGAGATCTACATGTTGGGGAAACACCGCGTTTCCTCACTTTTAGGTTTTCTGTTTTTTGTTTTGACATAGATGCACCACAGTGTCTTTAACTGGTCACCTGTTTGTGGTCATTTAGGTTGCTTCCTGTCTTTTGCTATTACCGCGATGTTGCGATGTTGAATGAATCTTCTACATAAGTAATCTTCCACATGTGCCAATTAACTGTAGGATAAATTCCATGAAATGGGATTACTGGGTCACGTGGCATGTGTATTTCTAATTTTTTTAAATTAACTTATTTTATTTAAATTCAGTTAGCATATAGTGTATCATTAGTTTCAGATGTAGAGTTCAGTAATTCATCAGGTGCATATAACACCCAGTGCTCATTACATCACGTGCCCTCCTTAATGCCCATCTCCCAAGTTCCCCCATCCCCCACCCTGCATTTCTAATTTTGACGGATATTGCCCTCTATAGGTTTGGATCAATTTACTTCCCCATCAGCAGTTTAGGAGTGCACATATTTTCACATTTTCTTTTTTGCCAATCTGTTAGGTAAAAAATGGCCTATTAGTGTAGTTGTCATTTGCCTGATTCCTATTTTGGGTAAGGTTTATTATTATTTTATATGATTAGAGCCATTTGTGTGTTTATTTTCTGTAGACAGTTATATCTTTGCTTACTTTTAGATTTGTATTTTTGCTTTTTTCTTATTGGATTGTAGGAGCTCTTTATATCTTAGAGAAATTAGCTCTTTGTTTTTGATACAAGTGGCAAAACATTCTCCCACCCTCAGTGTTTTTTATTTTATTTCTTGTCTTTTAATCCTTAAATTTTTTATTGTTATGTTAATCACCATACATTACATCATTAGTTTTTTATTTTAATTTTTCTTGATACCAATATTAATTTTAAAACTTTTCTTATTTTGAAGTAATTATAGACTCACAGGAAGTTGTAAGAAGAGTACAGAGCCCTGTGTGCCCTCCCAGGGGTTAGCTCCCCCCGATGGTAGTGTCTTACAAAGCCACAGTCCGATAGCGAGACTGGGAAACTGATACAGGTGCGTTACCGCTAAGAAGTCTACAGATCTTATTCCGTTCCCCCTATTCTTTCAAACCTGCATTCATGTGTGTGTGTGATTTGATGCAATTTTATCCCTTCTACAGATTCGTGTAGCCGCAGTTGAGGCAAGGAACTCTTCCCTCATCACAAAAGAACTCCTATGTGTTACCCGTTTGCATTGTACCTGCCTCCCACCTTACCCTCCATGTGTTTTCATTTTTGCTTTTTACTTTTATAACAATGGCTTTTGCCATGCAGATTTTTTTTTTGCTGAATTTATTTATTTATTTATTTTTTTTTTTAAAGATTTTATTTGTTAGAGAGAGAGAGAGAGAGAGCACGAGCAGGGGGAGGGGCAGAGGGAGAAGCAGGCTCCCACTGAGCAAAGAGCTGGATGTGCACTCGATCCCAGGACCCTATGATCATGACCCGAGCTGAAGGCAGATGCTTAACCAATTGAGCCACCCACCCATGTGTCCCTTGCTGAATTTATTTAAAACAATAATGACGGCTGGAAGTTTGTCTCATAGTTTGAAGGTATTCCTCACTGTGATATCATTAAAAAAAAACCTGCCTTTTGGTTTCTTCTAGTACTTTTATGCTTTCATTTTTATATTTAAGTACTTAACCCTTCTGGGATGTATTCTGATATAAGATATCTTATATGGATAACTTTTTTCCCCAAATGATTAGCTTGTTGCCTTAACACTTCTTATTGTAGAATTTTTTTCTCCACAGATTTAAAAATACTACCTTTTATCATTACTCAATTCCTATAAATATTGGTTTATTTCCAGACTTTCTCTTCTGTTTTGCTAACGATATAATCACATGCCACTATCACCGAATTTTGGGTATTTTAGGTTTATGATGTTTGAGTGACTGGTAAACTAGTCTTTCTTCATTGATCTTCTTTTCTAACTTTCTTGGCTATTATTTTTAAAATAATAGTGTCTGGTCCCAAACGAAAATTCCTTTTTAAGAAAATTAAGTTGGATACTGCTAAATGTATAATTCAACATAAGGAGACATACCTATCCATGATGTTGAGTCTTTCTGTTCAAGATTATGGTACGCTTTTCCATTATTCAAGATTTCTTTTATTATTTTCAGTGGTGTTTTAATTTTTTAAAATACAGATCTTTTACCTGATGTGCTATGAATGCCTATGTGTAATTAACCCTTTATACCTTAGTTTCCTGGCATATTCACTGAGGTAATAACAACTGTCTCGAAGTTCACTTAACCAGCTTTTTAAAAAAATTTTTTATTTAAATTCTAGTTAGTTAACATACAGTGTAATATTAGTTTTGGGTGTACAATGTAGTGATTCAGCACTTCTATACATTCTCTGGTGCTCATCACAGCAAGTGCCCTCCTTAATCCCCATCCCCTCTTTCCCCCACCCTACCCCCACCTCCCTTCTGGTAATCATCAGTTTATTCTCTGTAATTAAGAGTCTGTTTCTTGGTTTGTCTCTCTCTTTTTTCCCTTTGTTCATTAAAAACAATTTTTTTTTTCAAGCCCCGACGCAGGGCTTGAACTCATGACCCTGAGATCGAGATCTGAGCTGAAATTAAGAGTCAGACGTTTAACCAACAGAGCCACCCAGGCACCCCTGTTCATTTGTTTTGTTTCTTAAATTCCACATAGGAGTGAAATCATACGGTATTTGTCTTTCTCTGACTGACTTATTTTGCTTAGCCCTTTAATAGCTTTTGACGTCAGCTAAGGGAGACAAAAAAAGAGCTAAGAGTTGTGTTTTTTCTTTGAAGACATAAAGGGGAAAGGAGAAAACCAGAATAGGAATAGTAAGAGTTACTAAACATTATCTAGCTGTTATCTTTAAACTGTGTTCCCTATTATGTGTTGTAATGTCGCTATATTGAGCTGTTCTATTGAGAAAAGAAATGAAAAGACTGAGAAAATGTACTGGAGATTAAACCAGCAGGAAATCAGATTGATTGGTGGACTTTGGACTATGTGCTAGGCATTCCACAGCCCTCTTCTGGTAGCATTTCCTAATAGCAAATCCAGTTCTGTGGTGTCAGGAAAGCTTAGCTAAAACCTCTATCTTATCGACCCATGGCAAATATCACAGCTCACTGCCAAAGGTTTCATAGAAGAAATTTTGTAAAAATTTAAAAACATAACGCAAAACAATATATAAGTCAGGATGTGTTAACGTTATGGAGGGCCACCGATTGTTTGAGAATGTATTTGGTGAGCAGATATTTTTGGGGTGCCCGCCTGTAGACACGCCCTGTGCCCACCTGTAGATACGCCCTGGGCATTACAGACGTCATTTCTACCCCCATGGTGTTTTGGGGAGCCTTGTGGGGAGCCAGGGGCAAAGTGTCTAGTCATACAAATGAGCATATCACTACAAATCCCTCAGCAGGTGATAACATTGTGGATGAGATGACATTTAAACACACAATTCCGGGTGCCTGTAGACCCGGAAACCTGTCAGTGAATTCCAGGCTGAGAACCCTGCTCTCTAGTAGTAGTTTGGTTGTGTAATTGTGTGAAGCAGAGTGCTTTGGGGGGGGGGGGATTTTTGTTCTGGATAGAAGAGACTGGATCTGTGCTTTCCTGACAAAGCAGGGAGGTCTTACCATTAGGGATCCTTTAGCATGAAGTTCCCAGGTCTGTTCAGAATGGCCACGGAACAATGTTCCTCATGCCTGTTGACTCCCTCCTTTGTCTCGGAGTGACTCTAGAAATACTCTCCTAATATAGTTTCCACCTCAGACCTCAGTTTTTCTCTCCTGTTCTTCATGCATTGGTTTATTCTCCATGAAAAAAGATAAAAAAAGTATGAAGGCTTTGCCAGGCTCATACCTTTGATAAGAATCAGACCCATTTTTGTGAATCAGTATTAGAAAAGCAGACTCCAAATCCTTCCTTAACCAGACTGGGACCTGTCTAACCAGAGGGTTGCCTCTTGAGATACGGCATGAGATCAGAAAAAAACAGGGTTGTCCCCGCTTACAAAAACACCAAGTAAACTCTGTTTATTTTTACTTAGGCTTCAGAGTGTTACTCAGATGGCTAACTTCTCATTAAAAAAAAAAAAAAAAAAAAAAAAGAAGTAGAAGGCACTTTACAGTTATCCCTCTGTTCAATCTCAACTTTAAGATCTGTTCACTTTTACTTTTAACATTTCCCTATGTTTTAAATGATTTCTAGTCTACATTCTTCCCAACTCTTTTGGTCTTTGAAAGCTTACCTACCTGCTCTACGAAGTCTGCCCTAATTAGAGGAAGTTGAATTATAAATAGTTGTTTCACTTAACTCTCTCTAGTTAAGCATGAAATAGAGAGTTTGTGGACTAAAGGAAGAAAAAGTCTGTGCTACTTGTTTTTGTCTAGTTAGTCTAACAGGCCTGGTCCAGAGGAAGAGGACAGCTTCTGGAATACCCTATAAGATATGTTATTCCCCATATCAAAAACTCTGCTGTCTTGCCAGGGCCTCTAAAGCAAATTCTTTGGCCTAGTTTTCAGAGACCTATGAAGTCCACCCCCTCTTTCCAGCCTTCCTTCCGCCTCATAACTCCTCAGAATGAAGTCTTTGCTCTAACCAAACTGGTTTGCTCACTCTTTCCCAGGCAGACCTCAGTTTTTTCTACTCTCACTTCATTTGGGTCGTTCCCCCACTCACCAAGAATGGACATATCTCTCTCAACTCCCTCAACTGTCCAAATTTGACCATTTTCTAAGGCCCAATTTAATTTTTTCTTCTTTAATCCCTTTTTTCTTTAAAGATTTTATTTATTTATTTATTTATTTAGAGAGAGGGAGCATGAGAGGGGGGAGGGTCAGAAGGAGAAGCAGACTTCCTGCTGAGCAGGGAGCTTGATGCGGGGCTCTATCCCAGGGATTCCCAGGCTTGGCAATCATGACCTGAGCCGAAGACAGATGCTTAACCGACTGAGTCACCCAGGCGCCCCTCCTCTAATCCCT